CGAAAATTTGTTTATAACAACCATTCCAAAATTTTTCTTAAAACTATTATTTTATGGTTATAGTTTCTTCTTTCAAATGATAAATAATAATAAAAAATCTCACGATTAAATCTCCCGATTAAACATAAAAAATTAACAAAATAAAAAAGAAACACTGAAATTTAAATGTTGGCCAAAAATTTGAACGAGTTTGAGAAAATTTGAATGAGTTTGAAAAACATTGAAAAATGGTATGTAGAAGAAAATTTCTTGTGTCTATCTTCGATCTCTTACCATCAAATCTTCCTCACATGAACCTAATTAAAAAGCTAATTGCTAATCAAAAATTAACAATAATGAATCATAATTTTTATTTTTACAAAATACATTTACATCTACACACAATCATTATATAACACATATCTCCACATCAATATCACAAATTGATAAATAGCAAATTATAATTTTATTTTTACAAAATATATTTGAACCCCGGGAAACCATCTAGTGAGACAGTAAGCACAAATGAAAAATAACATTGTTTATGAATTATGAGCACAAACTTAACTAAGCACACACGAAACATCACTATGTTTTACTCATCAAGGCATCATCCGTTATTGCCTTTTAGGTTTACACATATTTTGGTCACATTCATATAACAACGGTTTTATTAGAAAACTTTCTGCTTGTGAGTTTCACCATTTCAGCTTCACTGGAAAATACTGCAAACAACAAAATGCGATCAAATCAGCTGGTTAATTAGGACAGAAACACTGAAATCTGCTTCTAAACTATCATATATAATGAAATTGAATATACATTTTACCTTGTTGATAAGGGAGAGGTAATATGGTTTCACTTCCTCTACATTTATACGGACTTTGCTTTTGCTGTAGAGATCATACTTGTTGAACACTTTTAGCCACTTCATGTTCTCTTTGTCTTCATCGTTCATCAAATGCTTGTATGCTTCTGATTTGTGAAGGGCTGCAAACCAAAAAACAATAACAAGAACTCGTCGTTTTATAAGCTTGGCTCATTTATTTATCGGTAGATAGATTTATTGAGCAAATCAGTCATTGTTTCCTAGCTATACCGTAGAAGGAATGGTATCTGATGATGAAAAGACCGGCTGATGGTAATGTAGTTTGATTCTCCTTCGCAACCTGTAAAACAAAGTCATTGCGTCAAATAGAGATTCTTGCATGTCGGTAAACGATAACAAGTGTTGAGATTGTTGTCTGCTTACCAGGTACATGTAATCGTCGTGCCCCCAAGACATGAACACATTGTCGAGCCCACAACCCTCGGTGTATATCCCGTACTTTGAGTTGTAACTCGGGTTATTGTAGTCTGGATTGTCCTTGAAGTACTACATCAAAAACCCCGCGATGTAATCAATTCTTAGATATCTTGTAAAACTCAAAAAAAAAGTTTTTAAAATTGTGTTAAGGATCTTATATATATACCTTGTAGTGAACGATAGATTCATCAAACGCACATCCCACTGGATATGTATCGCCTGTAATTGTGTCGATATAGATATAAATCATTCGAGAGAAAAAAAACTGATGTTCACAAAACCGAGAGTAAAAGGAAACACAATACTCACCAACAACAGCCCACTGAGGAAGCTCGCCAAATGAAGGGTGAAGAAGAACTTTTCCAAGATCTGATTCACATAAACACCAGCACAAATCACTAAACCGGTAAACAATTGTAAAATGCAATAAAAGCGAATCATTATAAGAACATACCGTGGATAAGACCGGTCAAATGGAGCCAGTCTTCATCAGGGTAATCTTTTCTGATAGCTTCCGCAGTCTGAAGCAAATGTTCGAGCTGAGGTTCGTCCAAATCGGGATCACTCTCGTCGATAAACTCATTCAGAAGCTCACAACATTCCCAAATGCTCATCTCAGTACGGTTCAGCTTCCCGTATTCTTCCCTCATCTTCCTCACGAAATCAACGGTTTGACCAATGTGATTGGTTCTGTAAAATTCCTCCACACTTCTTCTCCTCTCACTCTCAGCATCATAATCCCTTTTTAAGACAAACAAGCAAATATATCGAATTAAAGTTCCGATATTGCAATCTATAAAGCTAAACCTAAAGGTGTGAATCGATTCAAAAACTATTACCTGAAGGTTTGACCAAAGGAGTTGGTGTGAAGAGCTACAAAGCCTCCATCTAACACCAACTCTGTTTCTTCCTCTGTTTCATTCCCTTGATTCTTCTCTACAATCTCATCTCCTGAATCTCCACAAACATCAAATTCAATCATAATCGATGGAAATTTACAAATTCAACAAACCCACGAAAGAAAAACTGAAAGTTAATGAAGAGATAATCCAAAATCTGTAAATCTATATAACTAAATAGTTTCAAAACAGAGCATCGACGTAATCTTTACTAAAACGAAAACATGAAACTAACACCATGAAGAAGAAGAAGATGAATCAGTGATAAAAGAATCACGAACCGTTGTGATCAGAGTGGCGATCGATGAGAATCGTCATGGAGATTCAGATTCGGATTCAGATCGAGAAACGAAAGCTAGGGTTTTTGTTGGTGAAGAAGACGGCGATTTGGAGAAAGGGAAGATGATGGTTTAAATAGGAGAGAAGTGAGTCCTGAAGTGAGAATAAAGGAGGAAATGAGTCCTTCGCCATTATTTTCAGAAGCAGGACTCACAAAGTAGTGTCCTTCAATGGCAAAATATGCAAAAGAATGGTCGACCTTTTTTATTTTATTAGGGTTCATGCAGAGGCAAAGAAACAGCTGTTAAACGACTTGGCGCG